GCAGGTCGAGGCTGCGGTGGCCAGGAGCGGCCACTGCACTCCAGTCTGGGCAACAGAGTGAGACTCCAACTCAAAAAAAAAAAAAAATTATCTTTGCCAGCATTAAGAAGAAGGGAGAAAGGGCAGACTTGATAGCTTATCTCAAAAAAGCTACTAATGAGTAATAAGTGGCCACTGCCTTATTTATTACAAAGTAGAAATTTCTCATGACTTTTTTTATGTGTACCATAATTTAATTGATCTCTTACACCAGAATTCATATCATGAGTGGCTGACTGAATATTTTTATTGGACAGACCTGATTTAACTAAGACTGGCTGGTGGTTATGTGAATAAGATCTTTTTTTAATTTCAATAGTAATTTCAATTTTGAAAATGCTATCTCACTGTTTTCCACTTCTAAGGATAATATTGTATTTGATTAGTAATGTTCAACTTTTCACAAAGATGGTGAATGCCATCTTAAAATCTATTGGAAATTGGTTTATATAACTGGTTATATAACTGGTTATATAGATTTATATAACCGGTTATATGAATATATTTAAATACTGAGGAGGTCCCTTAACTGTCTCAGAACCAAGCAAGACTCATCTTTTTTGTGTTCTTTGACCTCTTAAAAGCAAGGACTGAAGATAAAGTAGCAATGTCTACTTTATATTTTTGGTCTTAACTATGCCGATCTAATTAGAATTCCCCGTATCTAAAAATACTTGTATTTACTAAAAGATATTTTAGTGTGGTTTATGTATAATATCAAATAAATACTTTAATGCTTCTCCATTTTTATAGGCGATCTTTAAGGTCAAGTGCTTTAAAAGTTAGTGTGACAGGAAATAGGAGCAAGTTAACCTTTACTTTTGAATTCTTTACTATCTAAGTCAGACCTAAGTTATAATTTAGGATTGTCTTTAAACAGCCACCAAAAACACATAAAACCGTGGGACTACTATGTATGTGTGATTGGGAATGGTGCTTTTGCCAGCTCATTAGAAGGATTAAAGTAGGGGAGATATACGCAAATTTTAAAATTATGTATGATCCTAAAACTTGAGATAATTAAAAACAAAATCACAGATCATAAAAATGGAGGGGCGGGAATTGACAGACGCATACAGGGAGAAGACTCTGGAGATGAAGATAATCGCCTACCAGCTAAGGAGAGAGGCTCCGATCAGGACCCACTCCCAGCCCTCAGGACCCTCCCCCAGATTTCCGGCCACCAGACCTGACAGAACAGATTTCTAGTCATGGCCTTTTGTGGTATTTCGTTCTGGCAGCCCTGGGAAAGGGTGCCAAGGGCAGGGCAGTGGTCTGCTGAGCTGGGAGGCTAGGGCATGAGGAGGAGGTGGGAGGCTGGTCAGGTTGGGTGAGACCTGGTGGGGGTGGGAGAAGCCCGTGGAGTGTGCAGGATTGCTGGGCCCAGTGCCCCATGGCCACTGTCAAAGTCAGCCGGGGTCAGGAGAATGCCTGGCCCCATCCTGTTTCGAAGGCAGACCCCCATGGCTGCCTGCAACCCCTGCCACCAGCTCAGACCCCTGATCTTGAGGCCCCCTCCTGGCTCTTGCAGGTCCTGCCTCCTCTTGGAGCCAGGCACGCCTCCCTGCAAGGACCTGATCAGATTCCTCTGCTCATCTACCCCACCTGGCTGACTCCTCTCTCCTGATCCCTGGGAGTTCCCCCAAGCTGCCCTCCAAGTCTGGGCTTCCCTCTGCCCTTCCACATCTCAGGCAGCTGGGGATGGTGCAGCAGCCTCTTCCTGGGCTCAGAGGATACCACCCCAGCTCAGAGAGTAAAGGGGTCTAGGCCAAGGATGGGCCCTCACCCCACCCAGGGTCCTTAGACCTCCGCCTCTTTCCTGTGGGTCTCTATCTCTCTCTGTCTCTCTCCTCTGTCTTTGTCTGTCTCCTGTCTGTCTGTCTCTGTCCCTCTCTTCTGTCTCTGTCTCTTTAGCTTTCTCTTTCTCTCACCCATCAACCTGACTTCCTGCCTCAGGGAAGGCTCTGCCCCCCAACCTCCACCCTGCTCTGCTCTTAAACCAGCTGCACCTTCCTCCTGGAGTCCAAACCAGCCGGCTCTTATGCTAGGAGGACAGGGAGGAGAAGATGATTGACTCTGTGGAGTCGTCACAGGGTGGGAGGGATCTGGGGTCTCTGAGGCTACGGACACTGTGGCAGCGGGTTGGAGAGGGCTGAGAGAAGCTTAACTGAAACACTTTTCTCACACCTGTTCTTTCCCAGCAGGCCACGGCCCCTGGAATCCAGTGTCACCATGTGTTGGGAACCGGCTGTGGAGGCCCGCCTGAGCGTTAGGGATCCAGGCAGGCTGCGGACCCTGAGACCACTAGGATGAGTTCAGGAGCTGATGGTCCATTCCCTCTTCTCTTTTTTGCTGTTTGGCACATCTCACTAGCAGGGACTTTGATGATCTAAGCTTGAAACTTGGAGAGTAGGACAGGCATGGCTAACTCTAGGGATCCATTGTTCCTGTTTCTCACAGACTGGTTTTGGCCTTTCAATCAATTACAGTTCAAACTCCGGTCACATTCGGGAGCCTTATATATGATACAAGCTTCTTTATAAGATTTAAAAGTATATTTGTAGAATTATACATACATTATATATACATATGGAGAGCTGCTTTCAGCTTTAGATGGTATAGATGATTATCTAGAGTTACTAGAAATGGCCCAGCACGAACTTTGGGCTGGGCCACATTCCTAAGGGCCCAGGACATACTTTGGATTGGGCTGCATTCTTTTAAACCAGTTTTAGCTACAGTTAGTGTAGGGTTTTTCTACTTACTATAGAAATTGAATTTATTTTATTCATAGAAAGAATTGTAGAATAGGTTATGCTACATCAGTGAATTATGTTAGTTCAAGCATGATCAAACAATACTTTGAGGTTTAATAAGAATACAGCTAACTTTAGAAATTTCATTGTTCCCATTTCCTACTATTGTACCTTAGTACAACTTACAGTTTATATTTGGGTTTTATTTGTAGAAGCTTTATTGCTGATGATCAGCTTTATATATTAGGATTAGGAATTAGAAACTTTTATAGAAGTTAAAATAGATATATAGGATTTTAGAGCAGCCATTTCATTAAGAGATTGTAATCAATTGTTCCTAGAAATGGCACAGCGTGATCTTTTGACTGGGCCACATTCTTTAGGAACTGGTTTGGGCTATAATTAAGAGTTTTTATAGTGTAGGTAGAATTAGCATAAAATAGAAAGGAATTGGGATTTAAGTTAATCATTAGGTGTTGTGTATGCATAAGTTTTATAAGTTATTGATTATTAGAATATTATGATGTTAGAATTGTTGTATTGCTTTTGAGGAATATTAGCCAAGCATGAGGAACAGTGAGATAATTTTGGGATTGCCCTTCCTCATGCTTGAGGAAACGCCCGGTGGGTGGGGGATGCCACTCATCCACCTGGCTTTGTGTTCATGTAAATGTCTTGTGATTTAATTGGGATTGTCCTTCCTCATGCCTGAGGAAACACCTGGTGAGTGGGGGATGCCCCTCATCCACCTGGCTTTGTGTTCACATGAAAGTCTTGTGATTTAACCTGTGAAAATTTGGGATAAAAGGATTACGGTTTGTCCCATTAAACAGCTTCTGCACTAGACAGAGTCCAGTCTCTTTCTTTCTCCCCCCTTTTTCTTTCTTTCTCTTTATCTCTCCAGAATAATCGCCGATGCTGCCACACCTCCCAAGGGACCCCCTAAATTTCTGCTGGGGCTGGCCCCCCCAACCATGTGCTACTCCAAGGTGTGTGGGAACAGGTGATGGGACACAGGGGCCCTGGAACTCCATGTCCCCAGTGTGCCCTCTCCCACCTGCACCAACCTCACCCTGCTCACCCCTCCAGATCCACCTTGCTGGGTCTCGCTTGCCTGAACCATAGGGAAAGCTGATGGGAACCTGGGGAGGTGGACAGGGTGAGCTTCCCAGGCAGGTGACCTGTGCAGTTGTACACAGTCCCACTTTTGATGACATGAAGTTGGTGGGTGAGTGCTCTACTGTCACCATCTTAAGTTCTGAGACTTACTGACAAGTTCATTTTGCTGTGAGCCCTTCCAGTTATGAGGTAGGTTCTAGTTACAGGGCCAGAATTTCAACTATGGAGGTAAATTATGAGGGTAGCACTGGGTGTGTGCACTAGTGTGAACACACCTGAAAAAATACTGTAAGTCTGTACATGCCCTGAGTATTTCACATGTGCATGTATGGGTTAGGGCTCAGTCAGGGATGCCCCAGTGATAAGGAGTATAGTTATGGGATAAGGGTGTTCTTTGAGGCATTAGACCTTACCTTTGTGAAGGGAGCTGGAGAAGCAGGTCTGCAGGATGTGAGGTATCCCAGATCCCGTAGACCCTCACACCCCAGGAAGCCTGGGGTGGGGGACAGCACTTCCCTGGCAATTCTTGGAACATTCCTCTCAGGAGTTGAGCAGACCCAGGAGCAGGGCATGTCTTTTCCTCCCTTCCTGAGTGTCCCCCAAACTCCCTTCCACTGCCCCCACCCCAAATGTGAGGCTCGCCAGACCCTCCAGGGAGTTGTGGGACCTGTGACAATGGGATTTTCCAGAGTTCAGTGGCTGTGCCCTGGTTCAGAAGGGTGACATGCTGGGTGACAGGTTGTTCCCATTGGTCAGCACAATTTTTCTTTTGCCCTCCCTCATGTGAGATTGGGCTGGCACGATGCCATCACTGACTCAAAGTGTGCAGACGAATGCCTTGCTAAAAATATTTGCCCAGAGCAGGGCACACTCTGCGAGTGTCATTGACCACTCAGTCAATGGGAAGCCAGACTGTCCAACTGCCAAGCTGTGGCCTTAAGACAGGACTCATAGGGAAATCTGTGGAGTGGCTCCCACCTATGGGGGTCCACACAAGTAATGGGGTGAGAATGGCCAGGGCGCTGTGGACCTGCAGGTTGGCAGTTGGGAGAGAGAGTAATTACAGGGTACACCCACCAGGCACCTCTCAAGTTCTGTTGGCACCTTGGAGGTGCAGTTTGGCTGTCCACCACTACCTCATCCCTAAGAATGCCTCTGCGGAGGAACTCTCCTCTGGGACCATAGATGATGTGGAAACACCAAGTTGTCCCAGCACGCTCTGATGTAGTATTCGTGTTCTGCTCATTTGCATGTGCATGGAGGGGTGTGTGTGTGTGTG